CTCTGATGTGCGTGGTCCAGATCACACTTTGGCCTAGGTCCTTGGGAGATCAGAAGGTTTCTTGTGACATTTCTGCAAAATGAATCAAGAGTTTACAGATGCAGAGGCTGCAGAGAGAGATCTGGGGCTTTCTTACGTTGGGCAGCAAATCAGTCTGTGAAGCCAGAGCCAACCCCAGGCAGGCTTCCAGAGTCCAAATCTGGGCTCCCTCTGCTTTACTCAGGCTCTCTCCACACAGGGCCGGACCTAGGGTTCCAGGTCTGGGTCCAGTAGCTCGTGTGCCCCAGCAGACTCAGCGCCTGGGGTGGGGGGATCATGCTTTCGAGCTCTGTGCTCCCCGGACACCTCCAATCAGCACTGCCGGGCTGGGCACAGCTTTCCTTCTGTGTAAGGGGCGCCCTCTCTGCTTGGCCTCTGGGGAGGGTCATATTTTATTTCACTGTGTCCTGCTGGCCCTCTCTCGGTTCCTGTGGCTGCAAGAAATCATCTCCATCTCTTATATGAGGGGCCCCGTGCCTTCTTACAGCCAGGGCTAGTCTCTGAGCTACCTGGCTGGGTTTTCACCAGGTTTACAAGGAAAACCCTCTCCGTTCCTCCATTCTGAAAGAGGCTCCCGAGGACATTAATTGAGGTCTGTAGGCCTGGGGTCACAGGGAGCTGTCAGAAAATTCTGCCTCAGGAGTTCCTGCTCTGGCCTCCAGTTTATTCTTAAATCCCCTGAACCAGCCAGACCCTCCTCATTTTTAAATAAAAAGCTTTGAGTGCTTGAGTAAGCAGGACCTCTCTTTTTACTTTTTGGCTTTTCCTGGCCCAGATGTTTGAGAGCAAATTTGTCCATTTGGCTGGTGCTCCCTCTCCCGTCTTCCCCAGAGTGCCTTTCAGCAGGAATGAAAGCCTGCAGTAAGCATCGTGGAGGGCATCGTGGAGCCAGGAGAGGACCAGCTGCACTGGCCCTGAGTCACGGGCAGAGCTTACAGACTAACTGCTGGAGCCACAGTGTAGGCCATGGCCACAGGGAGCCGTTGGTGCTGAGCCTGGGGCTGACAGGCCTTCCTGGGGCCACTGTGGCCAGCCTTTGAGCTTTCTGGATGTTCAAGGCTTTGGAGAAATGACACGTTGAGTTTCCCAGTGCCACCAGGGCAACAGAAGTATTGGCCCAGTTGTTTCTGCAGCTTTCCAGAGGGACCCCGGGCGGTCAAGGGGCTGTGGAATCGGCTCCCCTCTGTTAACTCTGACAGTGGCTGGATCTTCCCATGCCTCACTCCCTGGCACCATGGCTTCCGAGCTCTCTGGTGGACGCTAAATAAAAGCAACTTGGTGCTTGATGTGCAGTATCCCAAGTCGTGACCAGCTGGGGAGCCGGCCCCACTCCCATTTTACAGACAAAGGCCCAATGATTGACGCAGGGCAACTGCACAGCTGGGGTTCACTCCCAGGCTGGCACAAGTACCCCCTGGCGCTCCTTCACGCAGGATCCCACGTGGCGTTGCCTCCCTGGGAATCAGAGTCAGGTCGTTACCCTGAGGGACCAGCAGGTTGCTTAGTAACCTAAACCAATTGAAAAAAAGCATGAACTGTGGCTTGACAGCTCACTCAGGATAAATCGGTCCCAGTCCTGGCCGCGTGCAGTTCTGGACGTTCTCAGAACTCGTGGAATTACTCGGAAAGGACGCAGTAAAGAGAATTAGAGCCAAAGGAGAGAGAAAGTGCTGGAACTATATGTTGACAGGAGTTTGTCTGCTGACATATGTAGGTTTTAAATTACACTGGCCTCATGACGTCCCCTTCTGCTGTGGCTGCCACCCGAGGTTTCAGCCCTGGCTGCCCAGCATTGCCAGCTGTTCACATGCCAGGAAGGGCAGTGCCGGGGGACACTCCCCAGGGGCCAAGGGCCCTGGAACTGGAACAAATTTACCTTCAAGGGTCTAGCCAGTGGGCTTCATATTCACCATTATTATTATCATAGTTCAACCGTTTTTGACTCATATTTTGATGGATGATTTTAGGAGAACACCATGCTCCTCAGCTCTTAAAGTGCACACTCCACGCCATCCACACGTGGGTGTGATGAAGCGACGGACACTGATTAGATCTGCAGTCTCCCAGCCTAAAGTGGAGCAGGGACGGGGGTTGGGGGAACAAACAGAAAATCAAACCAAACCAACCCCAAACCAGCAATGAACAGACAGTCTCAAGTCTTGCCAAGCCCAGAGATTGATGTGGTGGAGAAAGTTTTTGAAAACTACCCAGGTAATAATTCTGGCATAGAGCCAGATTGGTGAAGTCCTGAATGAACTGTCTTGGGCAAACAAGGAAATTCTCGTTTTTGATTTGCCAGCTTTGTAAAGTGACCCTTTTGAAATGAAAAGGTTATATTAATCAACTTCGTAGGGTCAAGGTGATAGCAAAACATCATTTTCTGGTTGGAACATGGGAGAGAACAGGTGAGGTATTTGCAAAGCCTGATGTCATGTGGATTGGAAGTAGGAGGTCTCAGTGATGATCATTTAAATAGGTGAGTGGGAACACGGGTGAATTACTTCACTCTTCTGTACTTCATTTTCCCCATCTACAAGATGAAGGACTTGTTCTGGGTCGCTTATGAGTTCCCTGATGGGTCTAAAATTCTACAATGAAAATCTCTATTCTCTGGAATAGCCTTTCATGTCCAGTGATTTAAATCACATTATCAAATATTTATTGAACACTTGCTATGTGTCCAGGAAGTGATGATATTCTTTGAAAAATTGGTTCTGGGGTAAAAAAAAAAAAAGTAGGGGGCGGGGGAGGGGACAGATACTAGTGAAGAGACAGAGCTCAGTGACTAAGAATTTCCGAGCTCTGATAGTGCTCCTTTCTTGTTTTGAGCCATTTTGTGTGGTTAAAGTGCAGGTTACAGTGAGACAATTGACTGAGAGCAGCAAACAAATAGAGCCCGATAGATGGTAACCGTGTTACTCAGCCCTTTGGATGACAAATATTGCTAGGTGACAAAAAGCACTAATGCATCAGGGGCTAATCTGGTGTTAAAATGCTGCTTCAGGAAAAACGTATTCCCAGAAAGGAAATACTGGTGATTTGACTGACGGGAACAGCTGGAGGCCCTATATTGGTCCAGATAGGAAGCAGGAAAAAATAAAAAAAGAAGTTGTATTTTATATTTTATATGGAAGAAACCGAAGTGAGCTATGCCACTCGAATGTTCTTGTTGCCCAGGGTTTGGGAAGGTGTTGGTTATATGACCTCTTGGTGGCTGGTAGAGCCCAGCGTCTGGGTGCTAATGATGGTGAAAGGTTTTGTCCACCCAGGGGCCCCCAGTGTCATGCTTTCTGTGGAGTGGCCCAGGGTGGGGGCTTTCAAATGGCTCACAGAGTCTCACAGAAGTGCTGAAGGCAGAAGTGGGGGAGGGTGGGATCACTGGCAACATCTCCTTAAATCAGAACAATTCTCCTCCCACCTATGGAATGTATTGGGGCTCCTCATGGGAGACTGGGATAATTAGCCAGTTGGCAGAACTCACAAGCTACTTTGGGGGTGTTAGTCACCCATGTGGCAAAGCCAAGCTGGGCGGAGACTGAGTGCTCAGTACGCCTGGTTTGGATGGGGCAAGTGACTAACAGTGTTTGGGATGAGCTTTCCGGGTAATGTGACCAGATTTCCTGGAACAGAGAACCAGGCAGATGGTACATTTGTTACTGCACCCCATCCCCCAGTCCTGTCACTGTCCTGGCCTCTGGGGGCGGTGTGCAATGAGGAATGCGGGTAGGGTCCACACAAGGCACACATTTTATCTTCACAACAGCCCTCTGGGTTAGCCGCTATTATTACAGCTTTTAGAGGGTCCCAGAGTTCTAGGATCTTGTCCGAGGCTACAGAGCCGAAGGGAAATGCTGAGGAGACATCAAGGTGTATGTTCAGAAGTTGACCCTTGGAGCTGACTCCAAGCCCACCCCGAAATGGTTTGGTACTGGAAGCAACCAGAATCTTCTCTGGGTACCATGAAAACCAGGAGCCTGGAAGGCCGACCTGTCCAGGGCCGCTGAGAAGGAGGCAGGGGTGGGAGTTGGCCTCTGATCTGGCCTCTCAGGAGGACTGTGACACAATCCACAATTCTTTACTCGCTTCAGCTCACAAGCATGAGGGCAGGCGCCAGGGGTCAGTCTGAGAAGGCCGTCTAGAAAGGACCCTGTTTAATATGAGAGCTGATAAAACCCCTCCAACCTCTAAGCCAGGGTCAGAAATACTGAGCAGTACCGTAGGCAGTAGGAAGTAGTAAGTAGTTGAATTTTCTCCAAATTTATAAAGGGTCATGGATACAGCTCATTATTTTCCCTTAATATATGTTGATTCATGATCCTTCAAAATTTAGGGACCACAATTTTACTCTGAGGTGAAGAAAATATATGATGTGAATAGACACTCCACAAACAATCCTTGAATGAACAGATAGAAAACCGATGAAGTTATATAAAGCATTCCTTCTGTCCAGGGATAAATGCAGAATACTCTACCCCTTGGAAAGGAGATTTACTATGAACCAAAAACATGTTCTTTACTTCTGCTGCTGAAAACTTGAAGTGGTTTTCTTATGTTTAATACAATGTACAAGTTATGTGTCTAAGGTCTTATGAAGCTGACAGAATACACTGGGGCTGGGGTGCTATCAGTGGGAGAAGAGGAATATCGCCTTCCTTCCCACTTTTTTCTTGACAGACATCTCAGGTGGCGTTTCCCTCTGGTCCCTCTCGGGACGTAGACCCCAATAAGATGTGTGGCCTGACATGCCAGTGGCCTCACCGAGCCACAGACAGACACATGTTTAGAATTCCTCAGTCCCCTGGGAGGCGGGCAGAGAAAGCCCCAAGCAAGAAAGGCAGACACTGGGCACTTTTGAACTCATACTGGGTATTAAAGGAGCATTAAATGGGAAAGGATATGTGAAAACAGCAGCCAGAGATTTTAGCTGACTCAAGAGATAGTTGTCATAGGAGACGGTGGAGTCACCGCCGGGTTTGCAGTATGTGTATTTAGGGCGTATTCTCTAGACCAGCTGTCTAAAGTCCCACTTGTGGGCCTGGCGTTGTCATATGCAGAATAAAACCGTCTATAAAAGGAGGTGGGCCGGGGCCGTTGGTGCCTTCTTCCAGGTAGAGAGACTCGTGGCAGGTAGGATTTTTCTGCCCAGGGCTGGCATTTGGCTTAGCTGCCTACGACAGTGTCCATGCTGACTGGTTGATGCCTGCTGCTGAGTATTTTGAATATCACCCCTGGTCGTATCCTCTGTAGTGCGGATTAGTAGTAGAACACCTCTAGATTCCACAGACCTCCATCCTTGTCCCTCACCTCACTAATGGCTTTAAAGAAATGGCAGAAAGTGCCGTTTGGAGATCACCAGATTCAGGACTGACGATTGGGAGTCTCCAAAGGCACAGTCTGGCCAAATAGATGTGAAGAAAAATCTTATCCCCTAAGTAGGTTCTTCAAAAACAAAAGAGACTTTTATAAGTTTGGCTCGTTTGCCACACAGTTTTCAGGAGGGAAGGGAAGCTTTCTGTTTCGTTTGGTGCTGTGTCAGCAGTACCTGCATAGCGTCTGGCACACAGCACTGCTCAGCCAACGTGGGTTAAGTGAGTAAATGAAGAAGGTGGTATTGAGTGAGCTGCGAATGCCTTTTCATCCCTGGTATTAAAATTAATGTCTTCATCCCAGTTCTTTTGCTCATACAGCTTTTACCATATCATATGCTAGTTTGTTCTTTCAGTGTCTCCTTTTCTAACTAGACTATGAGCTAGACAAAGCCGGGAATGGTGCTTAATTGTGTCTTCAGTGTTCAGTCCGATTTCTGGCATATAGCAGGTGCTCAGTGAGTCAGGGGCATCTAAAGTATTATTCAAACCAGGCTGGGAGGAAGGCTGGGAGCTGATACCGCAGCATAAGCTGGCACTGTGCTGGGTGAACCAGGGTGTATAGTTACCCTGATCCGTCGGTGCTTGTTGAATGGATACAAAGTGAGTGACTGTTTTGGAGCCAGCAGAGGCAGGCTGTACTAACACTTTCCTTCTATTGAGATAAAAACTGCTCCCTGGGAATTCCACCCGCTGGGCTCCGTTCTGTTTGACTAGACACACAGGATGCATCTAGACTTTCATGTGGCATTTAAATATTTGAATTCATCTACGGCTTCCCTTGGGCTGAATTTTCTCTTTTCCAGCCTGAACATTTCCAGTTTCTTTAACCATTCCCTATTTTGCCTGGAGGTTAACCTGCTGCATTTGGGGTTCTCTGATTCCGGATGGACTTCTGTTTGACAAAGTCAGTAATGATCCTCGGTAATGATCCTCCTGAATCTGTCCACTCACATCTGTCTTCTCATCCGACTGCCCTTCACACCTCAAGTCCCTCGACTCCTCCCCTCTCCCTGCCCAGGCAGCCTTGGCTGGGTCTCTCAAACCAGATTTGACCATGAACAAAAGGGATTTAGAAAGCGCCGAGCCAGCATTCTGCAGGTCGTCCTCATGTAAGCCTTGCCGCTGGTCCAGCCCCGAGTTCGTGACCTGATTCCCATCAGTGTGCTCTGGTCTCACTCCGAGATGCAAGTCCTTGTGACCTCAGTTCTGGTGACCTGGCTTCTCTCCTGATTCCTTGGCCCAAATGCTCATTGGTCACCTCCAGAGGGCTTGTCTTGTTCTGACTTCTCTGTCTCCCTCTTGGCCCAGCCCGCAAGGTGTCCAATCCCTGGCGTGTTTGTTGTGTCAGATAGACCCTGGCTCCCACTCCTCCCTGCAAGGCTGGAGCTCGGCTCCTTGCCATTAAGTCTGGACTGGGGGCTCTGCCTGCTGACTTGGAGGCCCTCCCTGTCTGCATCCGTGAAAACCCCTGCTGAGCTGGGACGTCCCCGGGATGTAGCGCTGTTGCCTCCTCTTCCCCCCACCTCGCTGATCACGTTCTTTCCTCTTCTCTCTTTCCTTTCTGTTAGTCTCATCATTTTCCTATTTGCCCCCTTTTCACTTTTCTTTTCTTTTCTTTAGATTTAACCAGCTGGCTCAAAGAATATATATGGCTCTTGGTTTTTCCTTGGCTGTTTCTTGTGGGGAAAAGGGGAAGAAAATTCTCAAAGATTCTAAACCCCTTGCAGCGAGGGGCTGAGTCTTCTGCTTCCTTGATCTGCCCCTGACTTCCCACGTATTCCCCTGTGCTCGGAACTCGGGGGCCTACCCATCCACTGACCGTTCACTTCAAAAAATAACTGAGAGATACTAAACGCTGATGCTTCTGTTCACCTGGTGGAAAATGCTCCATATAAATGCACAGCATTATTATACGATTGCTAGAAAGCCCCAAAGAGGGAACTGACCTTTTTCAAGTTAAGGCACGTTATACCCTTGCGCTACATGTTCCATAAGTTCTGGAATAAAAGTCAAAGCCTCCAAAAGGTTAATAATCTCAACTGGAGAGGGAATTCTTTTCAGGAAAGGACGATGATCTTTCTTATCTGCTTCTAACACCAGGTTGTAGGTCCAACTGCATTTTTAGGGGGAAAAAAGGGAATGGAGTTGATAAACCAGTGTACCATTTTAAACTCCAAAACATTACTCCTTCATCTGCCTTCTAGCTATGGGGTCCTGGGAAGGCCATTGCATCCTTATTTCTAAAATGAAGACTTGGGCCAAACGTCCTCAAAAGACCCCTGCAGCTCTAGCATTTTATGATTTAACAGAAACATTAAGAAGTAGCAGTTGTGTTGGGCCTGTCCAGGAGGTAGGTGCAATGTTCTTGGGGGTTGTATGTGATTTGCCCTGTGTGGGAATGGAAAGCTTCAGCCAACAGAGAGTCCCACTGGGATTCCGGAGTTCTGGAAGTTCATGGAGTCTCAATGGCTGGAGAAGCAGCCGATATATTGCAGTGGTTCGGAGCGCGAGGGAGCAAGGCTGGGACCCAGGTGCTGCCCCTTCCTCAGTGTGTGCCATTGGACACGTTGCTTAGCCACTCTTAAAGCCTCACCTGTCAGATGTGCACAATAAAGTCCCAACTCTGATGGGCCATTGGGGGATTAAAGGAGGCACTCCTGTGGTTCCTGGGACACGGTCTATGGTCGGTAAATGGCGTTGTCAACATTGTTTCTCATCTGTGGCAGACGATCACATAGAGGGTGGCATGGACAATCTCTAAGGGCCCGTCCGGCTCTCGACAGCTGTAATTTTTATGGCTTTGTGGAAAATGTAGCGGCAGATGACCTCCAGGATGTTAGGTTAACTGGTGTTCGGGGAATGAGGCCAAAGTTCACGTAAGAGCTCCGAGCCTATGAGAGTGGCAAATGCTATTTTTAGGTTATGTTACTGACACAAGGCGCCTTTTTAGTCACCATGCTTCTTGCATGCCTTCTTGCTCTGCAGTGGCACTTATAGCTTTCTGGGAGGTGGGGGAAGCCAGGGGGATATTTTGTGACACCCCCTGCTAGAGGCTCAAGAGACAGAGCTCCTGACCTCTCAGAAATGTGCTGCCCGAGGAAACCAGTTCCTTGAGTGAATCTGAAATGATCACAAAGGAAATCAGGTCGGATCTGGGCACAGACAGGGAGGAAGTGCTGGCTCAGGGCTGTGTCTGGCCTCGCTCACGACCCAGCTCTGGGTCCAAAGTCCACAAGCCCGGGGCCCTTTGCTGGATGCTCACAGGAGACTGTCTTGGGCTTGTGCAAATGGATGTTCTTCTGGGTGCCCTGGCCTGGACTCTGGCAGTACTGGAATGTCACTGGAGACCTTTGGGGCTTTCTCTCCAGTCTGTGACATGCTTCTGACTGTGACTTGGCCTGACATGGCTGGGGCAGGACGGTGGAAGGTAGCTTAAGTATGCGGATGGCGTGGCTGGGCTTGGGAGGCCTCCGAGCAGAAGAAATTAGTGACTGATGACGCATCCTGAAACTTACCACCAGTAACTGTCTATTAAGGGGCTCTTGCATTTCCATGAGATCTTTGGCCTTAAACCTGTTGTAGCCAAAGCCCAACTTTTAGGGTAAAACTAAAACTTAAAATTGAAAGTTAAAATAATTTTCTAAAATCAATGTAAGGCATGGCAAATTGTTGAGAGAAAAGACCGATTCAAAGGCCACTTGTAGTTAATAGTAAATAACAGAACCTGTAAACCAAATTGAATGATCTGTTAACAGCACAGAAAAGGAAACTGAAGTTAATGCAGATTTAAAAAAGCACTGCACCTGGTGTGTTTAATTTGAGATATTGCATTTTCAAAACCCCCTCCACCACGTGCCACTTGTCCCCTGCATTTCTGTCTTGACAGGCAATGCCCATCTTCTTGTGGAAGAATGGCAAAGAGTGGTTTCTTTTACAAGTCCAGGACCTTCTGTTGGCTGTGGGCTTCCCCCAATACCTGTAAGACAGCATCGTCAGGCACAAGGTTGAGACTGCTGATTAGAGAGATCAATGATGTGATTAGAGGCATGCAGATGAGTAATATTTAAAAAAATTCAGTTATTCATTTTGAGACCATCTAATCAAGGAGCAATTAAAACAGAAGTTGAGAACTGAAATCCAGGAAGCTAAAATGAATCACATTAGACCCACAACTCCTACCAGTGACTTTTTATTTATCAGCCTCCAAGAGCAACTGAATGTCACCTCCCTGGAGTGGCCTGCTTAGATCAATCCCACCCTCCGGTTCCTGCCCCATCTGTGCCCCGCAGTGTATTCCTTGGTCACGAAGGGCACCTTCCTCCTTACCTCTGCCGCCTCCAGTGCACCAGGGCTGTGCCTGGCTCTGACTTTGTTCTGGTCATGATAATCTACTCATCTCTCCAGTGTAGCTCCAAGGCTCCTCTCTCTGCCACAGCTACCCATCACAGGCAGCACTGAGGCTTCCGTCTGCTGCGTGGATAACCTGCCTGGGAGTTGACCCCCAACCTGCACTGGTCTCTGGCACACGTGATCGTCTCTGGCTTTTGACTCTTCACCTGCTTGGCGATGTTCCCAACCTGTTAGAGTCTGAGTACTCCCAGGGTTCAGCAAGTTCCAGCCCTGGTTAGCCTAGACATTCCCGCCCCTGCCTTCTCCTCTCCTCTTCTGTGTGTGTTGCTGTCTCTGTGTGCCGACGATGTGTGCCCAGTCCTGCACACGCCCAACTCTTCTCACAGGATGCTGCCCTGCAGTGGCTGCTGGCTCTCTGAATTGCTGGCTGTGTCATGGAAAGACACGGGACTGGAGCCAGAGACTCTGGTCCAGACTTTCTACTTTCTGGTTGTACCATCTTAAGTCACATGACCTCTTTGAGACTGTTTTCGCATCTGCAAAATGGAGATGATGATGATGATAATGACCCTTACCTGGCTTACCTTAAAAGTGATTACGAGGACAGTGGTGTTGGGCATATTTTTGGGTTTTTATTTGTTATCATATCTGGTGAAGTGACTGTTCAAATCTTTCACCCATTTGAAAAAATGGATCGTTTGCTTTCTTTTATTGAATTTTGTAAGTTCTTCATATATTCTAGATACAAATCTTTCACCAGATAGACACTTAAAAAATATCACCAGCTATACACTTTCCAAAAATCTCTCCCAGATGTGCTTATCTTTCCATTCTCTTAATAATATCTTAAGGAGGGCAAAAGATTTTAGTTTTGAAAAAGTTCAGCATATTATTTTATAAATGCTTTTGTTTTTCCTTTTGTGTCCTAGCTAAGAAATCTTTGCCTAATAAGACTGCAAATATATTTTGCAACTGTGTTTTCTTCTAGATGTTTCATAATTTTTGTTTTTATATTTAGGTTTATAATTTATGTTGGAGATACACAGCTCTTGTGGGGGGTCAGGGTTGAAGTTCATCATTAGTTATTAAAGAGATAATCATAAGGAGATGTCACTACATACCTATAAGGATAGATAAAATTAAAAAGACTGGCCATACCGATTGTTGATGAGGAGTTGGAGGAACTGGAAATTCATACACTCCTGTTGGCAATGTGAAATGGTACAACCACATTGGTAAATGGTTTGATAGTTTCTTAAAAACTTAAACACCCACTTACCCTATGATACAGCCATCCCACTGCTAGGTATTTATCTCCAAAGAACTGAAAGCATATATCCCTACAAAGGCTTGCACATGAATGTTTATAGCTATAAACTGGAAACAACTCAAATGTCCATCTAGAGGAGAATGAATAAGTACGTTATGAGCTATCCATAAAGTGGAATACTAGTAAGCAACAACGTGGATGAATCTCAAAATAATTATGGTGAATGAAAAGAGACAGACAAATGCTGTGTATGTCAATTCATGTAAAATTCTAGAAAATGTGGACTAGTCAGTGGTTACAGAAAGCAGGCCCATGGTCGCCTGGAGCTGGGGGTGAGGTTGCATGGAGTGATTATGAAGGAGCTTGAGGAAATTTTCTGGGGGTGATGGGTATGTTTACCAATAGATCGTGGAGATGGTTTCATGTACCAAAATGTATCAAGCCAACACTTAGACATATTCAGGTTATTGTATATCAGCTATACCTCACTAAAGCTATTCAATGGGGAAACGTTGGAGTAAATATCCACAATGCAAAAACAAACAAAAAAACAAAAAATAAAAGCGACTGCAAGTCTCCACTGAGGTAATGCCTAGGAAACTGCATTGATAGCTGTAATCTGCTCTAGAAATGTGTTTTGTCATTACTATCTGTGCCACATAGACTAGGAAATTTTCCTGTAAAAGAACAAGCCTGGTTTCTGGGGGGCCTCGTGCTCTGGTTTTCCCAGCTCCACCCAATGGAAAATGTCAAACTGAAATTACAACACACATTACTGGACAAAGGCCTGATTGCATATTAGGACATTCAGACCCTCAAAGGATTTCTTTCAGGGCTTGTCCATATCCCAGCCCCTCACTCCTGCCCCTTTCTCCCCACAGGCAATAAGACAGTGGCTTAAAGTGCACAAGCTTGCCTGTATGCGAAAGAGAAGTTCTCAGCTGGATGTACATTGGAATTTACTGAGAAATGTTTGGGAAATGCTGATGCCTGACCCTGTACCTGGAAATTCTGATTCACTTGACCTATATTTTTAAAGCTCTCTAGGTGATTCTAAAGTTCAACTAGGGTTGAGAAGCACTGAGGTGGAGTTGGACACTATATTGTCACCGACCCATCCCTAGGGCCATGTCATCTCTCTGTTCATTGTGTGTCTCTAAGTTTTTGTTCAGATAGTGTTAGAAAGTAGTCAGGCAGGACTGATTGTGATAATAATAATAATTGACAAGATTGAGCAAAACCCCACCCAGAGAGGGTCCAGGGTGAGAGGGAGGGTCCAGGACAGAATCCTGAGAAACCTCAGCATTGAAGGGATAGGCGGAGTTGCAAGGGCACCTGAGGTCGACAAGGTCAGGCAGCCAGAGAACTGGGAGGAAAAGCCGGAGAGGTGGCAAAGGAAGAGCAGGTTAGAACAAGGTGCTGGTTAACAGTGTCAAAGCGCTGAGAAATCAAAGAAAATAGTAACTAAAAAAAAAAAGCCTGCTTAGCAAAACAGGGATGGTTGGTGATTTGGTGAGATCAGAAGCTTCTGATAAGTCAAGTGTGGGGAGTGAGGAGGAGGTGAGAAGGCCGCGTTGCACGCTTTTTGTAGGACTCTGGCCATGACGGCAAGAAAGAGTCTGGCTGGGGCTTGGAGGACTTCGGTGTGAAAGGACTTTTAAAGACAGAAGAGTCAAGAGCACATGTGGAGATGACCGAGTGCCTTGGGAGCTGAGACACTGCAGCAGGGATGGGGTGGACTCCAGGCTTGGATGGGGGAAGGCGTGCCCAGAGCTCATCCGGACAGGAGGTTGTTAAGGAGCTGGAGTTCTGGGGCCAGTCCGCAGGGATTTAGTCCTGTCTCTTCCATAGCCTGTCCGTGTGACCTTTAGGAAGACACTTAAGCTGAGTCTCAGTCTCTTCACCTGCAACAATAGAACCTGCTTCCTAAGGCTATTTGAAAGCCAGATTCTGTTATGTCCACAAAGGGGTTAGCACTGTGCCTGCAGTGTCCTCATCTGCGCCCGGCTGTCTTGCTTGTCAGTAAACTGTCCATACTGATGGGAGGAGCCTCCTTCAGTGTCCACCTCTACCTGGAATGGGATGCGGGCTCATTCTCTTTGCTCTGCTGGACTCTCTTTCCCAGCACCGGTAGCCACACACAGCCCTGGGCGACCTCCGTCATCTCCACATTGTGGTTACTGTGTGTGAGCCTCCGACAAGGAACGGAGGCTGGGGACACACCTACCGGAAGCAGCATTGCCGGAGGGGTGACACCCCAGGGGAAACCACAGCTTCGTGCCTCTTTGCTGGAAAGCCCAGCTGCCTTTTTTTTTTCCTGCACGCAGAAAGGTTGTTAAAGGGAATGCGGATTGAGTTCCTGGAACCCTGTTCGGTGCTTCTGAGATGGTTTCTTTGTTTTTGAGCATCACCGCCAGGTACGATGCTGTGCAGCGAGAAGGGAGTGCCCAAGGGAGGCCCCCTTCTAAACCAAATTCTGTGCTTTCTCTTTTGCTACCTGCCCCTGTTTCCTCCCAGTAGAGACTGCACCTGCTTTTTCCTCTCCTATTATGGGCCTCTCCCGTCAAGTCACGCAGTGAGTAACTGAGGGGCCAGTCCAAGACTCAAAACTCAGGACTCCTGACTCCTGGTCCAGTGCTCTTTTCATAGCTCCTTGTAGGTGATGAGGATTTTAATAATCCCTCCATTGCCCTTCAGCCTCCCTGACGATTGCTGATCGATTCATCCAGCGTGCATTACACATTTCCTTTACAGGACTTCAAAGGACACACGTCTGTCTTCTCTGGGCACTGGGGGCTTATCAGCAAAACAGAAATAATCCCTGCTCTTGCAGGGTTTACAATCCAGTGAGGGGAGACAGATAATAAAACACAGACAGACCTTGGAGTTATTGTGGGTTCAGTTCCAGATCACTGGCATAAAGTGAATATCACATCAAAGCGAGTCACACGAATGTTTTGGTTTCCTAGTGCATACAAAAGGTATATTTACACTACAATGTAGTCTATTAAGTGTGCAATAGAATTATGTCTTAAAAAACAATGTACATACGTTAATTTAAAAATAATGTTGTTGGAAAATGGCACCGAAAGACTTGCTCAACATAGGGTTGACACAAACCTTCAGTTTGTAAAAAATGCAGTATCCTCAAAGCTCGATAAAATGAGGTTTGCCTGTAAACAAGGAAATGAGAGATACATTCTCCACAATGTCTCCCCTGGGAACATTTTTCTCAATAGAATGCTTCTGGAATTATTAAAACCCCACCTCATGGAACGTGTGTATCTCTTAGTACAATGGTTTTCAGTCAGTGATTATATTTAAAAAATGTATACTTATGACCCCAAGCTCCATATAACATTTAAACAAAACGATGTGCGGGAATAATCTTGGGTTAACATTTTAAATTTTGTTTTAAAGGCACATTGGATGTCACCTTGGGGTGTGCTCCTTGGCAGTTAGGGCTAAGGGAGAAGCCACACGGCAAGTCAATCAAGCAACTACTTGTTACAAACAAATTCATGCTTTGGTGATCAGGAAGTAATGCTTGAAGCACTTTACACCCTAACAGGGTGATTCATGACTTAGACATGAATGCATAGGTGTCTTGTACTATATTGGTTACATTTTTAGGAAACTGGCTGGAGTTTTGGGTTGATGCGTTATGAAGTCAGGGGAAATAGGCTCCTGGTTAGCATTGTTGGGCAGAAGGCTGACTTGCAAGAGTCTGTCTCTGATGTGAAGCACGTGGTGGGAAGGTGAGAAATGTTATAAGATACCAGGCTCACATTTATGCACGTCCTCATAGCAGTGTCTGGTTGGGACACTGGTTGCAGCTTCCACGTCCCTAGGGGTGACATGTCCCTTTGATGGAGGAGCTAGCACAGAAAATGGTTCTTGAATCAAAGACATTTAGGTGGGTACCCTGCCTATGAACATGACACCCAGTAGGAAGCTTGGCTCAGTGGCGATGACCGTGGCTACTTGCAGAATAACTTCAACAGGAAGAGCAAAATGATCCCCTTAGCAAGTTCCGTCCTGGTCTCTTGCCAGGATTGGTAGCCCAATTCCGGGAGCTTTTTTTTTTCCTTTTTTTTAATGGTGGCTCTGGAATGGTAGGAAGTCTCCCACAAAGGATTTCCTTCAGTCATTGTTGTTTTTCCCTTAGGAAAAACCGTGGTGGGAGAGGACACGCTTCCCCCTCCCTTTGTGACTTCTGTGATTCAGACTTTAAAAGGCCAGGGGCAGGATCCGGGCCCCACACTTGGTTTCCTTCTTGAGTGAGGCCTGGTGCTTCATGTGCTCTGTCCCTTTAAACACCGGGTCTAGAGCCTCATAGTTGGTCCTATTTTTATCTTTGGTCCCATGGGTGAAGAGGGCTTTCCCTGAGGTCGGAATCTGTACTAAGGGAAGCACCATGTACTGGAATAACCAAACCTTATGTTTTAGCTTTGTATAGAGTTGAAAGGTCATTTAATTCCCCCTCCGCAAAGCAGAACACTTCCCCTGGTGACAGCAGGCAGAGGCTGTGTACGCTCTGAACACGTCTGACCATGTGCAGATGTGATGCGCTTCTCCAGGGAAACAGAACGCACAGAGTGTGTTGACGTATGTATAAAAGGAGGTTTACTTTTAGGAATTGGTTCACGT